CTTTGTGCCAAGAGAACCTGGGCCAAACGCTTGGCCTTCTTTGCCAGGCGGCTTCCTTTCTCCTGAGGTATCCAGGAAGAATTCATTGCACTCATTATGTAAATAAATAACCGTATACAAAGGGCAAAGCCTAACCAGGGTGCGTGCATCACATCGTTGGAGCTATCACTCTGTTGCCCTGCGCAGCTAACCTACGTGACATGTTGCTGCACATATTGCTAGGGTCCGATTTGAAGACGTGACCAAGCAAGCTTCTCACATCTAGTCAGGCTACACACCCGATCTCTCACACAAACCAAACCTGTCCTCAGCCCTCTCTCGGACGTGCCTTTCCACCAAAACCTGCATGAAAGGTACAGTACTGACATATAAGCGCTTAGTGACACTGTAGTGACACTTGCGATTGTTGCACACAGCGCTCAACTCACCGTCTCTCAAGGCGCAGCTCTCAACGCAAATGACCAAAACACTCAATTGAGTGAGTTGAGATGAATTGAGTGTATGCAACTCTTCAATTGAATCCACTTCTACATGCCCAGGCTGCATGCATGGCTCTACCAGAATAGACCTCGAACTGTAGTAGGACTGGGAGTGGTAGACTTGGAAAACCCCATATGGCTGTCCTCTGTACTTGGAGCGGGCAAATCTCCCTCATCTTCCTGCCAAGGGTTTGAAACTGATCCGGCTGAAGTGCTCCATGGCTTCTCGAAGCATTTGTCATCGGATGTGACAGGAAATCTCCAGCCAAAACACCATAGATAAACGCAATCAATAGTACATAGAATATAGAATTGAAATACTGACACTGAGGCCGAAGTCACTTGGAGACCTTGCTTGGATGCAACATGATGCAGTGATTTGTGTATTTACTCGTACTTGTATATAGAGTCTTGTATATTTGTATATAGTTATAGTTAATTATATATCCTTCCGGATCTTTCCCATTCTATGCAATGGAAGTGGCCCATGGCCTCATCCAGCGATTCCCCCATGTGCTGTTCCACCTGCATCCGACCGCTTTGACTCGGTGCTGCGGCAAACCCCTCCGACGGTTTTGACTCCTCGACGTCTTCGATGAGCCTGACGAGCCTAACACGTCCTTCATTCATTCAGAAGGTGCTTCTTGGATGGTTTCGATTTTTCACCACAACTGGCCTCCAGGTGCCTAACTGCATGCCTTGTGGACTCCAACACGTCCTGACGAGTTCAAGGATAACCCAGCATTGCGGAGTGACACTCAAACCAAAATAGAAAAACTTTTCGTTTCTTCGCCACAAACACTCCGTCTTTTCCAGTCCTGGGCGTGCATCACCTCAGCTTTGAGGCGAGTGACCTGGCTGCGCTAAGAAGCAAAACCGCCACAAGAGTTCCCTGCTAGTTCAACACTTTAAGTTTCTTGCCTTGACCAACCCATGGGGGAAGACTGTTGGACCGATTGACGTCTTGTACGAACCTATCTATATTTTTTTTTAAAATATGTATTATCTTCAAACAACAAAAGCTGCTGGAGAACCGTGGGCGAATGGACGAGCTAGATAAAGAAAACAAAGAAACAATTACCCCAAGGTAACCCACACACTTTGCGAACCTCAGCCTCATCATTTGGGCGCTTCGCTTCCAACGTCGCAACCTCGAGTTTCAGGAGAGTTGGAACATGCTCAAACTATTGACAAATTGGACACGTGTATTGAAGAGCTTGTATGAGCTTAATAGCTTGATGGACCAAAGACCCGTCCCTTTGCTGCTGGGCGAGCGGGCTTGATGGCGCCATTTCGAGAGGTCATGCCTTGCAAAGATCATACCCAAATTGCATGAAGGTGTTCCACGTCAACGCATCAATGTATGCTTTGATCACGGTTTGGCTAGCATGGTTTTTGAACGGTACATGGTGCGAGCCTCAACGCTCTACACTCCAGCAGCTTCATTTGTCGCCAAGCTACCTCCTTCAAAGGCAAGTTTCAGGCGAGGTCTGTAATCGCACATGTTCTGGTCATTCCATGTCATTCCATGTTGTTTGCACGGAATTTGATGTCTTCAGTTAAGAGCAGGTCTGAGATCAGGACATTCACCCGGGTAGCTCACAGCACTGCAAGAGTTTTCAACCGTGGGTCAGTCCAGTGTCCAGCCTCTTTCGAGGGCAAACCAAAAGACAATTTTTGTGATAAACAATGGTGCAGGATGGTGCAGGCATGATTCCCAAGCAGCTGGAGAAAGTCCTCATCTTGTTGCGACCCTGCTGGCTGCTCATCCTAGCTCGCTCTCCACGCAGACTTGTTTGAGATTTCTATGGACCTCTTGGAAAATCAGGTTGCAGGCCTTGCCGGGTGCTTGCTTCAAGAGTTCCAGCTCGCTGTGCATCTGAAGCATCTGAGCTTGGGCTGCCTGATCAGTGACCAGAGTTGCTGGAAGCACCTCCCTGACCCGTCCAACACCTAAACACCCAAACCGCAGCAATTCCATTCAAGCCCAAGGAAGGGGATAGAAGAAAATAATACATAGACGACAATTTGGCCAGCTGATCTCATGCCATCACACCACACTCAACAGACCCTATGTCCAATTTCAACTCTAGCAGGCGGTTTGCCTCAACGCCAGCGAGGCCTCAGACTTGGCGGCAAGTTGCATACTGATGCGGATTGTAAAGTGTTTTTTGTTCTGTAGCAATGCATGCGCAGTTAGACATTCTTGCGAAAAGCACGGCTGGGCACACGTTCGTCCAACACAATGCACTGGCAGCCAAGGTTGTGGCAAGAGTCTGTGACGGCTTGCTTCTCTCTCCTGCCCACATCTGGTCACAATGGACGTCACACATCGTCACAAACTGTCCTGAAAATATATCTTTAAACTTCAAGCTTGCCAAATTCAACCATTTTAGGATAGGTAGCCCCCGATTTCGACCCGCAGCACTAGCCACAGCTAAAGCTAATGTTGCCGTCTTTTGCAGTAGCACACCGCCTGAGACTAGCCACGAAAGGTTGCGCAACGTGTTGAATGTTAAAGCCTTTTGAACGCACTCACGGATAGGCCCAATAGATGCCGGGTTTGGGAGATGGCACATGCCAACATTTCCACCGAGCCGGGCCTTGTCATCTCAAGATGCCTCTGGAGTTTTTCACAGCTCTCCCGCTTGATTTGGAGCTCCCGTCGCAGCAGCTCGAGCCCTGAACGAGAAGCTCGGAACTTGCGCGGAAATTGGGCAACACAGCGACGCAATGCGACGCAATGCGACGCAATGCGACGCATGTCATCTGTCTTTGCAGAACTGGATGCACAAATATTTGTTGCCCCTCCTCCACCAGCTTCATCGCCCATCTTCGCGGGCACTGGTAATCCAACGTGGCTTTCACAACCTACTATTCCTTCCCATGCATTAGAACACATTGGGACTGTGGGACAATTTCCGAAAGAAAAGCCTCACAGAACTTGGAGTGTCAACAATATTGTCTATGTGGCCAATATTGCTTGGAATTGAGCCACCATGCTACCATGCAATGTCTTATAGGTTTGATAGGCGGCAGGTCACTGCACTACGAAAAGCTACACCACGCCCCGCACTTGGCTCAGCACTCTGGCACGTCGTTGTAAAAGATATTGAACAAAGTTGAGCACTGCCAAACAGCTTTTGGGCCACGGCATTGAATTTTGCTTGTGCTGCTGCAGCTTCGCATGATGCGGCTGAAGCTTCCTAACAACAATACAATTGGCCAACTCTTCTCAACTTTGCGTGTGCGCGCGTAAGAAACACGTCGTTGTCCATGTCTTCTGTACATTCCATATTTCCGTGTTGCCGCATGCAATGTAGACAATGCCCTAGCCCACATCACATTGTCCTTGCCTCCAGCGCTATGGCACGCTCCTGCCAGCTTCCGAACTTCACCAGACCCTTCTCATGATGCTGACATTAGATGGGACTGAGGATGTTTAAGAAATGCCTTTGTGATGCGGTATCTTGAGACATTCCCGGCCTCTTGGCATTGGCGCAGCTCTCTGATCAAGTCTTCCACTCCTTTGTTCAACAAAGGCTTGGGATGGCCCAGTCCAGCTATGCGGCAGGCTAATGCGGCTAATGTGGATTCGAGCAAGGTTGTGGATCGATGCTTTCTACACTAGGTCAGCTTGTTTGTCCCGTCCAGCCTGCCGTGTCAGCCACACTGCTTGGCCAAAATGAGCTGCTTGTGACGGTGGACTCTGAACTTGGGCTCCTTGCTATCCAACAGCGAGGAGGCCAAAGAAGGACAGAACGAAGGGAAAAAGTTTGATCTAAATCTAATCTAAACGGATGTGACAAGGAATTTCTTCTATTTCCGGTGAGATCAAACTTTTGGTGAAGTCAACTCGCTTGCATTTCTGCTGTCCCACCCATACACTCATACTACCGCACTGAGCCCAAACATTGGAGATACATTGATCACACTCATTCACACTCCTCTACTGACTACAATTTTGCAAATTGTGGTTCAGTTCTGCCCCAGCACCTGCGGCGAGCCTCAGAGAGTTCCCGGCCTAGGTTGTGCCGCTTCTGGGCGCCCGATGGATGGAGATAGACCGATACTGATAGGACAAGCTTCCACCAGAAGGCGTAAATTCAAAACATGGAGTGCTGATGTTGCAGCAAAGGCAGCGTGCCCCAACACTGCACCTGATTTGTGATGAGTTAAGAGGGTAGCCCTATGAATTCCACAGTGCCAGCTACAGTTACATCACTGCGCGACGTTTGCGTGTCACTTTTGAATCTCACTGGCATTCCAAGACAGTATATCTCAGAACTCGTGGGAGAAGCTTCATTGCTTCAGAGTAATTCGCCACCTTCCATGCCAAAGCGGAAAGTCACCACATCTAAACTCCACAATCTTGGGCGTCAAGGAGAGGTCCATTGCAGCGGGCTGGGATGGTTGTGGAACGGTTTCAAGCATACATGGGACAAATTCCAAACGCTTCAACGATCCTGGTGGGCCGTCGCCGGCAGTATGTAGCATGTACAGCTGCTTTTCGGTGGATGATTAGTTTTCCATAGTAGCTTTGATCTCTTTGCGCAGAATTTCATAGATCTCTTTGGCACGTGGCTGCATGGTCGGGAAGCAATGACCTTCTTCATGGGTCAGCACGACCGGGTTCAGGTAGTAATCCTCCACTTTGGTTTTGCTGCACCACCCTTCCCGCGCATAGGCATAGTAGGGCGAGGCCTTTCCAATAATGTGGATGCTTCGGTGGTCAAGGGGCTTCTCAAAAAGATGTGCATATCGATGATCTCGAATATGCATTCCTGACAGTCATCAATGTTGCATCCTAGCTGAATTCCTTTGCTTTCATGGGCACTTTGCCTTGACTGAAGCTGCCTCCCAAAAAGTCCCAGCTCCAAGGATCCTACCGACGTCAACGCAAATTATGAATGCAATGAGGAGAATATATCAGAATTTCAGGCCTTCGAAGAAAAGGCTGAGCTTCCAGGGTGGTGCAATTCCTTCTTGCCAAAGGTGGCCCATTAGGAAGTGCATCATGATGCAGCCTGCCGCGCGATTTGAGTGAGGTTTCTAGGATGAGATAGGCTCGTGCAGGCTTCGTCTCACTTACATACCCACTATGCTTACATTAAAATCTTAATCCTAGGTGAAAGGTGGACGAACATATTTGCAGTGTATACATGTAGTGTTAACTACATCACTAGTGCTTTGCCGTCATGCGTGTTTTTTCCGTAATCATGTGACTTGTTGTAGGCGCGTCACGCCGGCAGCAAAATCAAAGAAAAAACCAAGTGCTGGTCCCACAGATGCGGCACAAAACAGAAATGAATCACGATCATGCGTGCCTGCAATATGTAAAACATAGTGAAACAATATCTGAAAAGAAAACACTATATAGGGAAATCTTGGGAACACCCGTCGTGACTCCATGCCTTGTGAGAATCCCAGGGCAACGTCAAAAGGCCCTTCCTCCTGAACTCTTTGCCTCAACTCGGCCACCTTATCGCTGATCGCTACCTGAGCTTGTGAACAAGGTGCTGGTAGGATTCCAAGGACTTTGTGCAACTCCGTGCTGTTCAAGACCCTTAATTAAGTGACCAAACAATATGGCAGATGTTGCAACAGCACTCTACCAAAGAAGGCCGTTTGTGGTTGGAGACAGGTTGCTGGTGCCGGTGCTGGTGCTGTGAGCTGGCTGTGCACGTGGTGGAGACAGGTTGCTGGTGCTGGGTGCCGGGTGCCGGTGCTGGTGCCGTGGGCTGGCTGTGCACGTGGTGGAGACAGGTTGCTGGTGCTGGTGCCGGGTGCCGGGTGCTGGGTGGGCTGGTGCTGTGAGCTGGCTGCGCATGTGGTGGAGACAAATTGCTGGTGCTGGTGCTGGGTGCCGGGCGCCGGTGCTGGTGCTGGGTGCCGGGTGCCGGTGCTGGTGCGGTTACTCACAAAACTGCCTCTACAGCACCTGTGATGGCAGAATTTGTCATGATTCTAAACAGTCAAGAGCAAAGTGGAATGGCACGTAAGGGAGAAGACAACCTCACTTAATCTAATTACTATTACCATCCCTGTTGCTACAGAGAATAGAGGTTAAGCATGCTCGTGTTATTCAATGACAATCAAATTTGCACAAAATTATCGGAGCTCAAACACAGCTGTAGCGCACCCTTTTTCCAACTTGAGCCAAAAGCGGACGATCGACGGATATGGAGTTAAGCAACTATTCGTCACCCCTCCTAGACGCCATGGAGTGACTCCATGAAGTCTCTCACAAATTCTGCTTTGCTGCGACCGATCGTCCTTCTCTCACGTATTGGCCTAGTGCCTTCATATGCTTTGAGCATAGGTTCTGGCTTACGGGTTTGGTACAAACGTCGCTGAGATTGTCGTGTGTCGACACTGCACGCAAATCGATCTCCTTGTCCTTCACCTTTTGTTGTACCCAAAGGAATCGAATCTGCACATGTCGGGTCTTGCCAAGGCCCCTCCTCGAACACATGCCTCGAGCAGCTGAAGAGTCAGAGTCAAATCTAACGATCACCTTCACTGGAATGTGCCACTCCTCATACAAAGCCCGAAGGCCAAGTCCTGTAGAAGCTGCCTTCACAATCGAGTAGAATTCGCTCTCTCCACTCGACAATGCAATCGTCGATTGGACCGTCGAGGAGGGGACCATACAATGACTCCCGGCCATGCACATGGACTGGTGCTCTTTCTTGTAAACAAGCAGCCGGCGTGATCACTGTCTGTGTAGCATACGATGCTATCATGGGCCTCTTGGGGGCAAAACTCCTGTACGACACGTGGGCTGCCTTTGAGGTAGCGTCCCAATCTCTTCAACTTGCTCCAAGAATGCTCAGTGGGCGCCGACATGAAGCGCGCCAAGCTCTTGACACTTTCACAAAGGTCGACCCTATCCTGGCTGAGATAGGCACGTCTCATCACGATGGATCGAAACAGACTTGCTCGATCAGGAGGCAATGGCGGAAGTCCAGTTGCCTCTATCGCTTCTTGTGCACTTCCCTTCTCTGCAGGAGTCACGACTGCTTTGGCTGTGTCCAAATTGAGCTGCTTGATCACTGTTTCTGCATGTCTTGGATCAGCCTCGTACCTGATTTTCCCTGTGATCTTGTCGTACTCAATGATTCTATTGAGAACTGTCATTGCTGTGTACCATCACTTGCATCTGGTCCAATGCATCCGTCGACTCTGAACTCAAACTTCTTCTTGAGTACATCTTCAACGAACTGTTGTCCCTTCGCGTCTGCAAGCACGTCTCCGCGGCAAAGGAAACGAGAGTCTGTGGCTGCATGGTAAAAGATTGCAGGCCACGCTGTCCCGTGGACAATTCCATGTTCTTCCAACAAAGTGGTGTATGTTTCTTGCCACACTGAAGACGCATCTTCCGTACCATACATGGTCTTCAACAGCTTTGCACACTTCCCTGGTATTTCACGTCCAGGTGGCAAATTCGTGTAGACTGGCCGCCTTGACACGCTGCTCGACTGATGTCTTAAATTCTCATCTTCAACTTTTCTCCAAACTTGCTCGTCTTCTGTGAGGTCATCAAACTGCAAAGAACCTTGAGGGCCTCTAAAGGAGGCATAGCTGACAACAGTTTGCCCTTTCTTCTTAACTTCTCTGACCACCAATCTTGAGCGAAAGTTCGGATGGCTCCAATCGCCCTTGTTTCTGTCCACCCATTTGAGTGTGATGGGTGCACTTTCCAGTCACTTCCCATGCTTCATCAATGTCTGCAGGTTCGTAGATCTGCTGCTTCTCGACCCATTGAAGTTCTTCTTCTCGCGCCTTCCAAACTTCCTGCCTCGGAACAGGCTTTCCTGTGACTGAATCGCAGATAGCTTCTTCATCATCTTCTTCGAATTCTGTGGTTGGTGCTGGGTTCTCAGTAGGTTCATTGCTTTCACCGTCAGGGACTGGTCCGACTCCACCCAGCTTTTCTGTGACAGAGTTCAGTTCGCCTCGCTTCAATAGTTCTTGTCGAACTGCCTTTAGAACTCCTCTCACAAGTTTTGGGGGATACACTTGTGCAAATCGTGCTCGCCCATTGATAAGGTGCACATGGCGATGTCCACCTTCACATGTTCCCTCGAGTAACGTGGCTAGCACCTTGGAGTTTGTGACAAATTGCGTCTCTTTGCGAACGTATCCAACCCCTTTTGCATCCTCTCCAAGCATCTCCCAACGGCACATGGGACCACTTATTGTATACACTCTTGGATCCGACTGCAATTCGATCATGCGGACATCCCGCCAACTGCTCGCCCACTTGGGGTGCTCGTGTAAGAACAGTCGTCCCGAGTTCAACTGTGTCCAATATGCATCAATCGAAGTGTGGAGATGTTTTCGTCCTTCTCGTTGCACTTTCTCAAATTCTCTTGGATCTCTTTTGTACTTCCTGAGGTTTTGCAGAGGTGAAAACGGTCCGCAAATTGGCGATCCAACCAGCAACAATGGTTTGGTACGATGGAGCAACTTGAAAAGTTCTTCGATGTCGCGACTGCGACTCAGATCCCAGAAATCCCCTCCTGGGCTCTTTTGGACCGAAAAGTCAATCGCAAAACCTGGTCTCAAACCGAACTCATTGGCTCGGCTGGTGAAACGCTCCGGGCTGTAGATCTCTGCGATGTCAGTCTTCGAAGCTCCCAAAGCATGGAGTTCCAGCGCAATTCCCATGCTATCTTCACTGCACACGTATTCTTCCACCAAGCTCGCAATCTCCAAAATGGATGTAGGCGTTTCCTCGGGTCGGCTTCTTTCCCGAACCTGAACTGCTTGCGCCTTCGAGCTCAAACCCAGCTTGTCTTTCTGCATCTCTGCCAGTTTCTCTATTGAATCCCCTTTTCTCTTTTCGCTTTGGATTGCGCCCGATCTTTGTCCCTTCGTCGGGCTCTCTGGTCGTGGACCCTCATCTCCTCGGACCGGTCGATTCATGGAATCAGCTCGTTCGTGCGCACCTTCTATTGGACCTGGCTGACCCACAGGGTCGACTCGTCCTTGCGCACTTTCTCCAGTCCAGGAACCGGCCGAACCACAGGTTCAACTCGCTCAGTGCACTTGTGGCTGCCCTGCAGCATCGGGTCCATGCATTTCTTCATTGGCATCTGGAACATCGTCCATGACTGCCTCCGTGCCATGAGGCTCAACTGCATCCTCAGCGATCTGGCCTTTTCGCTTTTGAGCAAGCATCACTCTCTGCCTGCTCTCTTCTCTCCTCATCAGCCTCTGCTGAACTAAGGTTCTGCACTCTGCGCTATGAGCTCTTGCTGGAAGTCCGACTGCAATAGCAATGCAGCCGGGGCAACCCGCCGTTGGGTTGTCCTCCACATCCTTCCGTGTCACATAGAGATTCCTGGCTAGGAAGTCTTTCTTTACAGGTTCTGGACTCAGCTTTTCTGTAGCTTCCGGCAGATCGATGCGGACTGCAGCGTCCACATCTTCTTCACTCTGCGGCCTCATCTTCCAAGGCGTCCCCCGGAGTTTGTCGAAGCCGTACCTTCCAGCGCTCCTCGGCCGCCTTGCGCTTCACACTGCCGCCCTTGATCACGCCCTTGTCGGTCATGATCATGACGTCGCCATTCCTGCCGTGAGTGCCTACATAGACACCCGAGTAGTTTTGGAGCCAAGTCATTGCGGTCCTTCACATAGGCTTTGAGCGGCCTGAACCACACTTGCTCTCCGAAAGCCACCGTAGGCCTTCTCCATTTCTTGCCCTTCAACCTCTCATAGGCCGTTCTTACTTCCATCTGGTCCCACTCTAAAACGTGAGACCAGGAAGTTGCCACGCCTGGCCATCCACGTGAGGATGGGATGGCGATCGTGGATCTCCATTCCTAGGTTGTCCTGCAGCGCACTCTTCATTGCGCGGCATTGACGCTTTGATTCTCCAGTCTTGCCTTCCTCCAGCGCGATCTCCACTTTCGAAAATTCTTTAACTTTGGCCTTGAGAGACTTGATGGCGGGCTCATTGTCAGACTTCAAAATGATGCGATTGTATCCACATTCGTCCAGGATCCCTAGTGTGTAGTCCACGGCGAACCTGTCTGGGCCTTTCGCCGGAACCACGCACGCACGCCCATGTCATGCCTGAGTGCTCATCTTTGACTTGCAAGCTCGGCAACTCATGTTCACGCTCTTTGTCGCTGGCACCATTAAGCTGATCACCGGAAATGCTCTCTGCGACTTCTCACCAACGGAATTCGAACATGTCGTTCACGCAATCCACGGGCACGTACGCAGTGGCCACACCAGCTTCTATGCGTCACGTGTCCCGTCGCCTCGTGCTCCTCGATCTCCTCCAATGTAGGGCTCTTTGGACTCCTCAACAACTTTGGAGCCCTTTGCTCTCCACCATCGTCGGCCCCATCAACGACGGTGTCTTCTTCTGCCTCAGGCGGACTTACGGCGTCGGCGCCTGCCGGGGAAAACCCGGATCAGCACCGCCAACCGCTCCAAGGTCTTCGCCATCCTTGCAGTTGTCGCCACGTTGCAACCAAAGGTCA